TTAGGAACGATGTGCTGGGAACCAGGGGTGGAGATCAATATATTTTCTATTAACACACACACACACACACACACACACACACACACACACACACACACGGAGGGAGGAGGGAATAGGAGAAAGAGAATGAACACCTTCCCTCCTTCCCTTTATTTGGGATGTACATTTATTTTCAGTATTGGGGTCTGTTCCAGAGGAGTCTGCTTTCTTATCTACAAGAGACATAGGACAGTCCTAAAGTCTATCAAGGAAAACTATAAACCAATATTTGGAAAACTGCTGCTCCAGGGGCACACCAGGCCACCCTCACAATTCCTCCCTTCTCCCTGTAGTTGTTCCAGGACAGGGTATTCCAGACCTGATAGAATCATCCTCACATTCCCAGCATTCTTGTGTGGGACCTCCTAAAGGTGAAGAATGTCATCTCATGCCACTCCCTCTCAAGCACAATGCTGCTAAGCTATCCCTTGACCAAGGAACTCTCCTTCAATTTATCTGAAGATAAAATGGTTCGCTATGATTTCCTTTGGTCCTTACAGTAGTCTTAGTTCTGTTAACATTTGTGGGGCCAATGCAGGACTCTAAGACTCAACTTCTCCCAAGTGGTGCAAGGCAATCTTTTGTGTTTTCTGCCTGAAGAACAGGGAGAGCATATTGCTATTTGTATGTATGTTATGCTGACATACTTTCCTGAGGTTTCATGTTCCGATATTTTTTTTTTAACATTTTTAAGTAGGGGTGCCTGGGTGGCTCAGTGAGTTAAGCGTCCAACTCTTGATTTCAGCTCAGGTCATGATCTCACGGTTCGTGGGAGTCGAGCTCCATGTCAGGCTCTGCACTAACAGCATGGAACCTGCTTGGGATTCTCTCTCTCCTTCTCTCTCTTCTCTTCCCCAACTCATGCTCACTCTCTCTTTCAAAATAAATAAATATTTTTTGAAATAATATTTTTAAGTAATCTCCACACCCAACGTGGAGCTTGAGCTCAAACCCCCAAGATCAAGCCACATGCTCCACTGACTGAGCCAGCCAGGCGCCCCTCATGTTCCAACTTTGAAACAAGTTTTGTGGGTTTTTCTTTTATATATCCAGGGCTATTGCCCAAATCCTTTTGATTAACATCGTAAGCTTATCCATTTTTTCTATGATCTGCCAATGGGTTACAGGGTATGTGCGGTGAGGGGAAGCCCCGGAGAAGTGTTCTGTGGGGCAGGCAGTTTAAGTGTGCCGACAGAAAAGGGAACTACTGAAGGGGTATCAGGCAGCCCAGTGACTGGCATAGAGTAGGACTGAGCTGGTAAGAACAGGTTACAGGAACTTTGTGTGAAAGTATCTGAAAAGTTCACATTGGTGCTCACGTGTCAAGAGAGCAAAACACTGCTATCTATTTCATATCCTTAGTGTGTTGATTTCTAGGACCGTGCCTGTCCTTTCATAACCTTCTCAGTATAAGTACTGATAAAATGATAACCACTCAGCTTTCTTGTTCTTTTTTTTTTTTTTTAAATAGACTTTAAAATCACAGTGTAATTGGGACATCTGGGTGGCTCAGTCAGTTAAGCGTCCGACTTCAGCTCAGGTCATGATCTAAAAGCTTGTGAGTTTGAGCCCCACATCGGGCTCTGTGCTGACAGCTCAGAGCCTGGAGCCTGCTTTGGATTCTGTGTCTCCCTCTCTCTGCCCCTTCCCTAGCTCACACACTGTCTCTCTCTCTCTCTCAAAAATAAATAAACATTAAAATTTTTTTTTAATTTAAAAACCACAGCATAATTAAGAGGAAGGTATAAGAATTTCCCATACATCTCCTGCCCCCACACATGCAAAGCTTCCCCCACGATCAACATCCCCACCAATGCAGTATCTTTGTTACAACTGATGAGCCCTCATTGACTCATAATTATCACCCCAAGTCCATAGTTTACTTTAGGGTTTTTTCTTGGTGTTGTATATTCCATGTTGCAAAAACTCACGTATCTACTATTAGAGTATCATACAGAGGAGTTTCATTGCCCTAAACAAACCCTGTTCTATGCCTATTTATCCCACCCTCCCCTCCATAACCTGGCAACCATTATCTTTTTACTCCATAGTTTGGTCTTTTCCACGTCACAGAGCGGAAATCATACACTGGGTGACCTTTTTAGATTGGCTTCTTTCACTTAGTAGTGTGCATTAAAGTTTCCTTCATGTCTTTTCATGGTTGACAACTCATTTCTTTTTAGTGCTGATTAATATTCTGTTGTCTGGAACGAGTTTATTTAGCCATGCACCTACTAAAAGACACTTTGGTTCCTCCTAAGTTTTGGTAGTTAGGAATGAAGCTGCTATAAATACCCAAGCATTTAACTCCTTTGAATAAATACCAAGGAGCAGGATTGCTGGAATATATAATAATAAGTTTAGTTTTGTAAGAAACCACCAAACTGTCTTCCTAAGTGGCTGTACCATTTTGCATTCCACCAGCAGTAAGAATTCCTCTTGCTCTGCCTCACCAACATTTGTTGGCAATCCTCCAGATTTTGGCCACTCTAATAGGTATGTATTGGTATCTCATTTTATTTATTTATTTATTTTTTTAAATTTTTTTTTCAACGTTTTTATTTATTTTTGGGACAGAGAGAGACAGA